TCCACCTATGAAATACAGCTCTTTCTGGGATGGAAGCCAGTAGCTATTAAACAGTACATGGAGACACTACACAGCACCTTAAGACACAAAGTGAAGAGCAATACCCTATCCAACTGTAATTTAGGAAAAACATTTATTCTCTTAAATTTTTGTTTATTGGTATATAATTTCAATTACAGAATAAAGGCATTACAAAACATAAAACTCCAGTATACTTTCTATTCCTGATCATTGCACGGGCACCTATCATCACGTAACGTAAAAGCACACTAAAGAATTTTTAGTGCACTGTAGTATTGTAATGTCTATATGTGGGTCATGGCTGTGCAACAAGCTACTGTGTTGTAGTCAGACCCTGTCTTGCCCTGCAGTAGTGTCCTGTGTAGTCAAATCCTTACAGCTGTATGCTTGGTTATTTTTACATTCTACAATTAAAAAAATTAGAATGTATGTCCTGACCATCACCCATATAAGTTAATATTTCTAAAAAACTACCATGTGATTTTTGAAGAACCCAAATGATCAGCTGTAAGCCTCATTAGAAATACAGCCCCCTTCCAACAAAGAACTGTGCTCCCTAATGCCATAGGGGAGGAGTTCAGCATTGACTGAGAGTTACTCCTGGAGGAATTCTGCAGGACTGCATGCCTGCAGAAAACACTCCCTCCCTCCCCCCAGATAGATTTCCTCTGTTTCTCTATGGAAAACGGCAGGGAAGCAAAGGGAAGCTGTGCTGGGGGGAGGGAGGGACCATGGGTGCAGTTTTTGGGGGGGGGGGGCTTCCCCCCTCCAGAGGCGGGACATGGGGGTGCACATGGGGTTACATGCCTCGCCTCCCCACCCCCCATTCTGCAAGCGCAGAGCTGCCCAACAGAAGGAGGCTGTCTGTGTCTCTGCTCTACTGACTCTGCAGCTCAACGTCGCCTCCTGGGTCCTAGTGTCAGTCATGCTCCCCTTGTGTGTGCTGGGAGCCTTCCTGTTTTCTATTCTATGCAACAGTGAGTGGGGCTGGGTAAGGGGGGTGGGGTGGGAAAAATGAGGAGGGGGGAAGAGGCAGTGAGGCAGGAAGAGGGGTGGAATAGGGCAGGGGGAGGGGAATGTG